CCAGGATGCAAGGCTGGTTCAACATTCGCAAATCAATCAATGTGATAGAACAGATTAATAAGAGGAGAGAGAAGAACCATATGGTCCTCTCAATTGATGCAGAAAAAGCATTTGACAAATTAAAACTCTTAAGAATATAGGGATAGAGGGAACATTCCTCAAGTTCATAAAATCCATCTATGAAAAACCCACAGCGAATATCATCCTCAATGGGGAAAAGCTGAGAGCCTTTCCCTTAAGATCAGGAACACGTCAAGGGTGCCCACTCTCACCACTGTTGTTCAACATAGTACTAGAAGTCCTAGAAACAGCAATCAGACAACAAAAAGACATAAAAAGTATTCAAATTGGCAAAGAAGAAGTTAAACTCTCTCTTTTCACAGATGACATGATACTTTATGTGGAAAACCCAAAGGCCCCACCTCCAAATTACTAGAACTCATACAGCAATTCAGTAATGTGGCAGGATACAAAATCAATGCACAGAAATCACTTGCTTTCTTATACACTAACAATGCAACTGTAGAAAGAGAAATTAGAGAAACGATTCCATTTACAATAGCACCAAAAACCATAAGATAGCTCGGAATAAACCTAACCAAAGAGGTAAAGGATCTATACTCTAGGAACTACAGAACACTCCTGAAAGAAATTGAGGGAGACACAAATCTCCATTTTCATGCTCATGGATTGGAAGAATAAACATTGTTAAAATGTCTATGCTACCCAGAGCAATCTATACCTTCAATGCCATCCCGATCAAAATTCCAATGACATTTTTCAAAGTGCTGGAACAAACAATCCTAAAATTTGTATGGAATCAGAAAAGACCTCAAATCGCCAAGGAAATGTTGAAAAAGAAAAAGCTGGGGACATCACGTTGCCTGATTTCAAACTATGTTACAAAGCAGTGATCACCAAGACAGCATGGTACTGGCACAAAAACAGACATACAGACCAATGGAACAGAATAGAGAGCCCAGATATGGACCCTCAACTCTATGGTCAAATAATCTTTGACAAAGCAGGAAAAAATATGCAATGGAAAAAAGACAGTCTCTCCAATAAATGGTGCTGGGAAAATTGGACAGCCACATGCAGAAGAATGAAAGTCGACCATTCTCTAACACCCTACACAAAGATAAACTCAAAATGGATGAGAGACCTCAATGTGAGACAGGAATCCATCAAAATCCTAGAGGAGAACATAGGCAGTAACCTCTTTGACATCGGCCACAGCAACTTCTTTCAAGATCCATCTCCAAAAGCTAGTGAAACAAAAGCAAAAATGAACTTTTGGGACTTCATCAAGATAAAAAGCTTCTGCACAGCAAAGGAAACAGTCAATAAAACCAAGAGGCAACCCACAGAATGGGAGAAGATATTTGCAAATGACACTGCAGATAAAGGGCTGGTATCCAAGATCTATAAAGAACTTCTCAAACTCAACACCCAAAAAAACAAATAAGTCAAAAATGGGCAGAAGACATGAACAGACACTTCTCTGAAGAAGACATACAAATGGCTAACAGACACTTGAAAAGCTGTTCATCATCATTAGCCATCAGGGAAATTCAAATCAAAACCACACTGAGATACCACCTTACACCAGTTAGAATGGCAAAAATGGACAGGGCAAGAAACAACAAATGTTGGAGAGGTTGTGGAGAAAGGGGAACCCTCTTACACTGTTGGTGGGAATGCAAGTTGGTGCAGCCACTCTGGAAAACAGTGTGGAGGTTCCTCAAAAAATTAAAAATAGAACTACCCTATGACCCAGCAATTGCACAACTGGGTATTTACCCCGAAGACACAGATGTAGTGAAAAGGGCCATATGCACCCCAATGTTCATAGCAGCAATGTCCGCAATAGCCAAACTGTGGAAAGAGCCGAGATGCCCTTCAATAGACGAATGGATAAAGAAGATGCAGCCCATATATACAATGGAATATTACTCAGCCATCAGAAAGGATGAATACCCAACTTTCACATCAATATGGTTGGGACTGAAGGAGATTATGCTAAGTGAAATAAGTCAAGCAGAGAAAGTCAATTATCATATGGTTTCACTTATTTGTGGAACATAAGGAATAGCATGGAGGACATTAGGAGAAGGAAGGGAAAAATGAAGGAGGGGAAGTTGGAGGGAGAGATGAACCATGAAAGACTATGGACTCGAGAAACAAACTGAGGGTTTTAGGGGGGGTGGGGGGATGGGTTAGCCTGGTAATGGGTAATAAGGAGGGCATGCACTGCATGGAGCGCTGGGTGTTATATGAAAACAATGAGTCGTGGATCACCACATCAAAAACTAATGATGTATGGTGACTAACATAACATCATAAAATAAAATTAAAAAAAGAAAGATTGAGATGCTTCTGTGGCAACAAGTGAAGATGTGGGGTGAGAGTCAGGCATATAGATCTTTAACCCTGGCTGGGGGGTGTACATGGATAAATCAAGCCGGAGAGTGAATGACATGGGTAAAAAATAGAGAGGAAGAAGAATGGGGAGAAACAAAGAGGAGGGACGAGGCTTCAGGGTCAAATAGAGAAAACAAGGGGAGTAGGAAGGATCATCCAGAGCCTTAGAAGTACAACCAAAAAAACTTGGCGTCATACCAGCAACATGAAGAGGCTGCTTTTGGAAGGGAGTGGTCATCCGAGTCTCACGATGCCAAGAGCTCAAGAAGAATGGGAGCAGAAATGAATAAATGTTAGGAGTAAGTATTGGGGAATGAATAAATGCTGAAAGAAAGTTCAGACACAAGTTTATTTTAAAGAAAGAGGGAAAAGGGGGCAGTTTCTGGAGATAGGAAGTAAGGTAGAAATAGGTTGAAAGTGGGTTTTCTTTTTTTTTTCTCCAGATGAGAGAGACTTGATCATGAATAAAAGCTAAAAGAAAGGTCCTTTGCTCAAAAGACAACTGTGTTCTCGTGTTAACATGATCTTATTCACATCGGGAATACTGGCCACCCCCTAAATGGCTAGATTAATGTCACCTGGTCCCTATGTATGAAGGCAGGAAGTGGGCTGAAATAGTTAAATAATAGCACATGCTTTCTAATTCCCAATTCTCTATTCATACCTTACATCCCCTCACTATTCAGCAAATACTTATTGAGCATGTACTAAGTGAATAACTCTAACAGAAGCTCAGGTTGCAGAGGTAACCAAAATCAACAAGCCCCTAGCATAGATTGTTGTGAAGAAGACAGACTGTAATCCAACTAAAATAAATAATTTTATATATTAAACTATTATTTACAATATTATAATTTTATAGTAATATAAAAAATAAATAATGTACTTTTATGTAGGGTTAAGTGCTCTGCAAACAATAAAGCAGGGTAAAAGTGTAGAGAGACAGAGATGGTGGGCATAGGAGCATTTGACAAGGGGTGGTCTAGGAGGGCGTTTCTGTAAATCGGTGTTGGTCAGAGACCTGAACTGTAAGAAGGAAGGGGGCAGCCATGGAAGGACTTGGGAAGGCAGCATTCCCCAGAAAAGGACCATAAACACAAGTCTAAGAAAAGCGAGTGGGGGCGCCTGGGTGGCTCCGTCGTTAAGCATCTGCCTTCGGCTCAGGTCATGATCCTGGGGTCCTGGGATCGAGCCCCGCATCGGGCCCCCTGCTCGGCGGGGAAGCCTGCTTCTCCCTCTCCCACTCCCCCTGCTTGGGTTCCCTCTCTCGCTGTGACTCTCTCTGTCAAATAAATAAATAAAATCTTTTTAAAAAAAAAAAGAAAAGAAAAGCGAGTGAAGGCAGCAGGGTATGACCTGTGTGTGTCCCACCCTGCAACACACCACATAAAGCACAATAAGGGCTTTAGTATACACGCTACCCGAGGTCCCTGGAGGGTTACTGGCAGGAAAACGACAGATTTTTACCCACACTTCATTAGAAACCTTGCTCGGCTTTTGCCAGTAACATGTTTGCCATGCCAACTTTAAGAAAGGATCGACTTGGTTCCAAGGATCTGGATATCTGTCCTAAGGGATCTACCTGGGATTAGAGTCTTGCTTTGACTATTGGTGGTGTGCACAGCAAGGTTATTCTTGAGGGCAGCCTTGGAGAGAGGGATTACAGTATGTGACTATATCGTGATTGCTGCCTGTTTTCCAACACCCACTGAAAGCAGGTGGTCTGAAGGGTGACGGGAGCCACAGGGAACTGCTCTAGTGGTTCTGTATCTGATCAGGGCCACAGAGGAGCAGTGGCAAGATGTCCATCACCTTAGATGTCTTAGTTAACTAGTTGCGGGGAATCCTTTGACAATATATACATGTATCAAATCATCATGATGCATACCTTAAATACCCTACAATTTTATTTGTCAGTTATAGCTCAATAAAGCTGGGGGGATAAAGAGATACCCATCACCTGCTTGCTAGCTGACATGGAAAGGAGAGAAGGGGACCCCCAGGAAAAGAGTTAAACATGACATTGAATTCAACTTGAGGTTGTATCTGAATTCCAATGAGGTCTCATCAACTCCAAAAGAGATCCCTGAGATTCCCAGGCCAGATAGCACATGTTTCTTAAGAAGCCGACCTCTTACAGAAAGATACGTAAACCAGTGGAGTAGAAGTTAGACTTGTGGGCTTTTGGCACTTGGACTATGTCAGAACATTTGTAATCATGCCATCGTCCCCCTCCCCAACCTGGTTCTGCTGTATTCACTTTGCCTAAAAGGGTGCCTCTCACTTTAGATTTAAATCTAGTGATGGGAAAGGTGCCTCAGAGCTGGCTTCGGGCATCATTGTGTAGCTTTGACAAGGAAACCCCATAGTAATTGTAGTAAAACTTCTTCAGGAAAATTACTGGGCCTGGAAATGACAGAATGGCCCTAGAAATCTCAACAGACTGCAGAGAGGACATGTGACCGCTGTAAATTCAGCCGAAGAATGCAGATGATGCTTCTAAGCCCAGTGTTACTGATTCTCTACACAGAGCAAAAGGAGATTCTTCTAGAACTAGGCTCAGGGATAGATGTGTGCTTAATGGTGGAATTATTCAGTTAGATAATGAACAGGGAATGCAGTGGGTGAGGGAAATGCTTGAGGGGCAATCTCCCATAGATTGTGCAGAAGCTCTGTATGCATTGTGAAAGATAATGGTTGGCTTTTAACATAACTGTTTCTTGAGATATTTTATTGTTCAGCTCCAAGACTTCTTAAGGTTACCAGCCTGATCAGGTCTTTTCCAAGAATCGCTTCTCTTCTTACCTGGAAGAAAAAAAAGTGCACTTCAGTTCTAACAGTCCTGATAATAGTCCCAGAAAAATGAGTTTTATAAGTGCGCTGATAGAAATCTACAAAAGCAAAGCGGGGGGGCACCTGGGTGGCTCAGTTGTTAAGCATCTGCCTTCGGCTCAGGTCATGATCCGAGGGTCCTGGGATGGAGCCCCGCATTGGGCTCCCTGCTCCGCGGGAAGCTTGCTTCTCCCTCTCCCACTCCCCCTGCTTGTGTTCCCTCTCTCGCTATATCTCGCTGTCAAATAAATAAAATCTTTAAAAAAAAAAAAAAAAAAGCGAAGGGGAAGGGAAAGTAGGAATCCCAAGAACTAAGGAAGACTTAATATGGCTTTTACTTTGGGGGTGTCTGTTGATCCTCATGGTCTGTTTTAGAGGCTGCATGAGGCCTGGGGAAGAAAAAATAAAGCCTAGAGAATGCTAAGGTGGAGACCTTAATAGAATGCTCTATAAAGCTAGGACCCTGAAGAGCTTCACCCTTAGGGTTAGGGTGAACAAAAACTCAACTCATAATGCAGAGGAGGCAGCTCAGAAACTTCCCTGCCTCTACCTTTTCCCCAGATAGAAGGACTGGGGGAGTTAGGCGTTTTGATACTGTGGAATTCGATACAGCAGGTAAAATGAATACACTATAGCTAACTAACCTAGGTAAATGTCCAACACATGACACTGATCAAAAAGCAGCAAGTCACAGAAGAGTACATGTATGATTCCATTAATGTGACGTTACAGGATACCAGTCATATTGGATTAGAGACCCACCCTATTACAGTATGACCTTATCTTAACTAATCACATTTACAACAACCCTATTTCCCAATAAGGTCATGTTTGAAGTACTGGGAGTTAGGACTTGAGTATACTTTTGAAGGGTATAAGTCAACTCAATAGCATAGGATGGTCTCCCGCAACAAAAGATTATTTCATCTAAAATGTCAATAGTGCTGCTATTGAGAAACCCTGGGGTAAGGCAATAAAGGAAGTGTGGGGGCCGAGGGTGGGCTACCTCAAGATGGGCCACTGTGACATGTGGATTGTTTTGAGCTGAAGGCACTTGAGACCCTGCAGTCTCAAGAAAACATTCAGCCCTCCCTTAACCACATAGACAAATCTAAATTGGAGGGTCTTTCCAGAATAAGGGTTATTACCAGAGAGAGATTTTATAGATAGATGTTGGCAGGGCAAACAGCTGTTTACCAAACACTCACTCTTTTTCATCTTCCCATGAATTGCATTCCTTGCCTCTGAGGTCCCAGATGCCTTCCCCCCCTTCTCCTTAGTGCAGAGTGACATATAGACCTCATTGTGCCTGACTGTCTTTGGAATTTCCAAGTCTGTGTGGATTCCCCATACCTATGCTATTAAATTTGATTAAATTTGATTTTCTCCTGTTAATCTGTCTTGTGTCAATGTGATTCTTAGTCCAGCCAGAAGGACCTTTGAGGGAGCAAGAGTTCTTGCTCTCCAACAAAAGCAAAGAAGTAATTAACATATAATTCTGAATACCTTTTGGAGGTGGGGGAGTAGAAAAAGAAGAGACGGGGGTGCAGCACACAGGGCACTTCCCAGATCTTGGAATGTTGTCTATCTTTAGCTTGGTGGTGGGTACACAGATGAGCATTTCATTATCCTCAGATATACTTGTATATTACATATACTTTTTGTCTGTATAATTAACCTTTTTCAAGATAATAAAATTCCAAAATTATGAGGATACAGATAAGTCATAAATATAAGGTAGTAGGCATAGAAGAAATTGAGCCTCTTCTGAGACACACATACATGCATTCATTTAAGGTTTACATGAGGTTCTGTGTAAATGTGTTACTGTGGGTCTCAGCCAGGAGCAATGGTGAGAAATAGACCATGGAGTTTGCCAGGTGTGAGCCACCTAAGGGCTTCTCATAATGATGCCACATGTGTTGAAGATCCCCCAGATGTTGGGGTTCCCTGATTCTCCCAGACCCCTGCTTTCTCTGGCTGCAGAGAGAGAAGAGAAACTACAGACACAAGCATACCTTTCCCCAGTGGTTGGATGTCTCCCAGACCCTGGAACTGCACAGGATCGTGGTTAAGAGCGTGCGATCTGGAGGCAGACTGCCGGGGTTTGCATCTTGGCTCTGGCACTTGCAGAGTGGTCAAGTTAATCTCTCTGGGCCTCTAGTTTTGCCACTGTGAAATGAAAATATTAACAGTACTTAATAATAGGGTTGTTCTGAAGAACAAGTGAGGTAATGTGTATAAAATGTTATAACAGCAGTGGCAGGTGTTAAACACTTCATAATATCAGTTATCAGCATCATAATCACTATTATCCCTGCCTTGTCTCCTTGGTGACATTGCTTAGACAACGTGTGACTCTGTTTTTTTCATCATTCTCATTCTTTTTTTTCTTTTTTCTTTTTTTTATTATTATGTTATGTTAATCACCATACATTACATCATTAGTTTTTGATGTAGTGTTCCATGACTCATTGTTTGCATATAACATTCTCATTCTTAAAACCAAGATAAGAAGTAGACTTACACAATCCCCTTCACTTCTCCTTGCTTCTTCTTTGGCTCCCTGTATCTCATCTCTTAGTAGAAGGACTCTCCCAAGCCCAATTGCAGCAGTCTAGCAGCAGAAAGGCATAGAGAGAGGGGTCCGTGAAGAGGAAGAGAAACTCAACTCCTCCACAAACACCTTGCTCCCCGGACTGGGATGGGCACCATACTGTGTGTCCTTAATGACTAATGATTCTCTCTGTCCTTACAGACTAATGACTAATGATATCCCCACCTTCTGCATCTCCATTAAGGGTGGAGTTGGGATGGTTGCAAGGTATATTAATTAAAATGTGACTACCTGCTGTAATGAATCACAAAAGGTGGAATGGCTCAAAGACAAAAGAAGTGTATTTCTTCATAAAGTCAAGTCAAAGAGAGGGGTTCCTAATTAGCAGGAAGTTCCCTGTCCGTCTTATGGCCCTGCCACCTGGGACACATGGCTTCCAGATAGCTGCGTTCATTTGCCCTAAGTTGGTAGAAGGGAAAGTACTTGAAAGATCGCCTGGGGAGAGATTTTTATGGGTCGGGTCTGCATGAGACACACATATTTCTACTTATGTTCCACTGGCTAAAATCCACTCACATGACCACACCTAACAGCAAAGGAGGCTGAGATAGGTAGACTAGGAAGAAGATGACGGGCTTTGGTGAACAGCTAGCATGAGAAGCAAGAAGAGAGTATGTCATTGAGTAACATATGCCCAATGTGACTCACACATTTTACAGAATTTTGGTGCTGAGGGAGAGGGGAATGCCTGATTATTTGGAAAATAATCGGCAAGGTTTAGCCCTATGCACATAATATGGAAGAGTATCCTGTCTGCTGAAAACTGATTTCACCGAGTAATACTAAACATAGGATTGCTGAGGGTTCACTGGATCCGACAGTCCATCCAGAAGGGCATAACATGCTATTCTAGAGGATCCCGGAGCCTTTCATAGTAGTGAGGCTAGGTAAGAGAAATTAGGATTTCAGCTGTTTCTGGAACTTCCTTGCCTCCTCACCAGTGATAAGATAGTAACACTCTCAATAGGGCTGAAGAACAGATATTCTCCTGACATTTTCTGGTACTTGCTATGAGTCCAGGCAAACAGGAGAGTCTCGATGCAGCACAACCTTCCCATTTTGGTACTTTTCTTACACGGGAGATACACTGCAGCATCAGCACTGGTAGGAGCTGGTTCGAAATGCAGAGTCTCAGGCCCCGCCCCAGACTCCCTGAGTCAGAATCTGCAGTTTGGCATGATCCCCAGGGAAATCCTATGCAATTTAACATTCCAGAAGTGCTGCTTTGGAACACTGACTCTTAAACTTGGCTGCACATTGGAATCACCTGGGAAGCTTCAACAAAGCCAATGCTTGGGGTCCACCTGCAGAGAATCTGTTGTAATTGGTTTGGGCTGTGGCCCGGGCCCGGGGGCGGGGGTGGGGGGAAAAAAATGACAAAAGCTCTCCAGGTGATGGCATTTTCCAATTAAGGTTGAGAACCAGCACTTTCAAATGGCTGGTTCTTTTAAACCAAAGATTCTTCCTTGGTCAATGTGGGCACTTGTTTAAAGAATGGTTCCAGCATCTGTTTGATATCTAATCCAATAATCCGGATCCATTCACCAACTCACAAGGATTAGGGGTATTGTGTGGACCTTGGTCAGTGAGCAGCAGAGGCCTATAATGTCACAGCTGGAGGCTATGTTTTTGCAAAAGGCTTGTGCAGGTAAGCACACGTTTTTCCCCCCTAAAGGCCACTACAGGTAACACTGTTCCCCCCACCCCCCACCTTCTCCCTGGTTGGCACGGGCTTGGATAGAAAAGAGCTTCAAATGAGTTTTTCCCTGTTCCGCTGTATCATTTTCACAGAATATACAGTTGATAGGAAGCTCTGATAGGAAACAACCCCATGTTTCAGTTTTGACATCTGCACAGAAATAGCTAACTTTACTGGCAATTTTTTCCCATCTGTTAAAGGACATCCTGTGGTGTCTAATTGTGGTGTCTGTCCGATCAGATGGCGGCCCCCAGATGTGGGGCGACGGCCTGGGCGGTGAAAGAATTCACCCCCTGAGGCAGAACAAAGGAGACAGACGTTTATTGAGGACACCTGCAAGGGAGTGGCGGGCAGGACAGCGGACGGGAAGCTTCCGCAGTGAGGCAGTGGGTGGGGGCTGTTTTTTAAAGGGAGACAGTGAGGAGGTATGGCGACCTATGGAACCTTCCCTTTTTTGGGAACTGTGCCTGGGTGTAAGTAGCCCACTGGCGAGTTAGGGCCTAGGGATATTTGGGGGGGGGGGGTCACTTGATGGGCCCTTTCTACATTCCATTGCTCAAGCCTGTTGGCCTAAAAGCAGCCTCTACACTTACTTTCCTTTAATTTCAAGCTCTGCCCCAATCCCATCATATGCTTAATAACCAATGAAAGAAGAAACCTGGGTCACTCGTGTCTGCTTGGTAAAAATGGAAAAGGTACAGGAAGCCTTTGGTGTTTAGAACCTGGCCTTCATTTGCTCTTCAGTTGTGTTGCCCTGTGTTCGATAGTAATGGAGGATACTCGGAAGAAAGGCAGGCAGGGGCAAGGGGCCCCGACCTAAGAGGAAACTACCCTTGAGAGGAAAAAGACCCCATCCTGGTATTCAACACCACCCTGGAAGGAGCCCCCCGCCCTTTCCCACGTAAACAACTACCTGATCTGATAGGTAGATGAGCACGTGGACAAAACCTGATTGGGTGACAGGCTGGAGGGTTCATCGGATTAAAGCAGCCCACCAACAATCTCATAAAAACCCCTAGACTTAGAAACTCCAACCTCAACCTTCTCCGGTCCCCTCTTCTTCAGGAGCTTTGTATTATCGCCCAGTAAACTTTGCTTTGCTGCCCACCGCTCTAGGTGTCTGTCTGTTCCTTTGTGGGTCCTCCTTGTACCCTTGACAATAAAAGTGTAATCCTAAGTAGATAAGTTGCCTGAGTTCTGTGAATCATTGAACGCGAGGGAGAGTGGGAATCCAATTTGTAGCTAATTGGTCAGATGTGCAGGTGGCTCGGGGACCACCAAACTTGTAGCTGGCGTCTGAAGCGAGGACAGTCTTGGGGGACTGTGCCCTTAACCCATGCAGTTGGCACTAACTCCGGGTGATGGGCATCAGAAGGGTAGTGCAGAAATGTAGAGACAAAACCGGTCTCTTCCTCAGTGGGGGAGGGAAGATGATGGGCCCTCCAGAGAGACCAAATTCGCACGTCTGTAGGCAAGAACTGTTTTGTTCTCAGTTGTCCATGGCATAGAGTTGTAGAATAGTTTTCATAGACTCAGAAGGAGATAGTGGGGAAGAGTAAGATAGAGACAACGTGGAGCTTCCTAGTGAAGCATTCATTTCTTTACCTGTTTACAGAAAGAAGAAATGGAACTTGAGATGTCATTAAATCCATTTTTCTGCATCTAGGAGAGTGTAGGTAGAACTAGTCCTGGCTGACCAATAAACAAGGGTCAAGTCCAAATTTAAACCTTCGGGGAAGACGAACCCCCCTGCCCCACTGGTACCACGTCCCAACATCACAAACCTTTCAACTAGGAAATTCTATCAGATGTGTAATGTGGCGCAGTCCCATGCACCCTGTGGTCATTCATAATGATGAATTAGTAAATAACCAAAACTCTCCTGCTCAGTCTCTCAAGGATGGTCTGCCCTCCATATAAACGATGAGCATCTCCTCCAGAAAAGAACATTCCTTCATCTTCCCTGTCTCTCCCACCCCCAACACACACACTGCTTTCTGCATTTAGGGTTTGGTATTTCCCTTTAGGTTCCCAACAGTTTTTCTACATTGTTTTTCTTGTTTTTCAGTCAGCTGCTGTTTTGCTTATGAAACCAGAGGTTCCTGTCACACAAGTCACATCATGGGCCTCCAGAGTCAACATCTTCCATGTGACTCCAAATCCCGCGCTAACTTCACCTACTAGGGATCTGAATATCTACAAAGAAAGAGGTATATTTGGGTGTAAGACCTCAGAGTCATGTATAAATCATCCTTTAAGGTTAAAAAAAAATACCCAGAGTTATTCTCAGAGCAGTGGCTTGCAGAGTATGGTCCCTGGCACCCCAGCATCAGCATCTCTGGGAACTTGTTAGGGATGCAAATTCTTCGGCCCTACCTCAGAGCTGCAGAACCAGAAACACTGCAAGGGGGGGGGGGGGTAACAGGCCCTCCAGGGGATTCTGATATGCACTGAAATGTGAGAACCACCTGTATAGATTTTTTTAAAGCTTTCCTGGAATTTGATACACAGCTTTGCAGGCAGAGTCTCCTGAGCCTTTAGGTTGAATGTATCAGAATTGTTGGACTCCCTGGTTTAGAAATCTCTTTACCCCAGCACAGACTGTCCCTTGTGTGGGGAAAAGAACCATATAGAACCAACAGGAAGTTTAGAGTAAATTTCCCTTCTGAACCACATTTTTATTGACTACACATCACCATTGGCATGTGGAAAGAGCTTCCAGTGGGCTCAGCTGGGCAAAACCACCAGTGTCTCCCAGATGTTTTAAACGTTTGCTTCCTAATCACTCGGCCCAAGAAAATCTGGGGCAACAAGCATTCGTCCCACTCGTTTGCCTGCCTTTAGCCAGGGTTCTGGGAGCCCCCGTTACATCCCGCCCCTTGCTATTGCCGTCCATCGTGCTCATCAGAGTGACTCATCTTCTGGCACTCATCCCTCTCAGCAAGAGGATGGACTTTTAATCAGAGTGCAAACCATATGATTCTCTCTTATGATCGTTATTTCAACTTCTTTTCCAAACCTCCCTAAAGATTGCTGCCAGGAGCTGTGGTTCCTCTCAGAGGCTCATTTTGAAACTGAAAGTGCCCTCGGAAAGGGTGGAGAGGAGATTTTAACTTGGGAAAATGTCTTCCACTGCTGTGGGGTCTGGAAATGATCGCAAGCAGATACCTTCAAAACAAGGCTGCATAGTTAAGCACATCTGAGGAAAATGGCAGCCCGCAGGGGGCGCGCGGCTTTGGAGGTGGGATCGCAAACATCAACCCCCTCAGGACTTCAGGTAGAGGCGGTTAGTACTTAAATTAGTTTCTCTTTAATTTGCAGTTGGTGATGGTGTAAAGTTTGCCCACTAGGAGGGAGAGAGTTGATGAGCTGCGAGTCCCTGTTTTGCATAAGAGCTACCTTCCATGGTGCACATCTGTAGAGCTGGCATGGCCCGGAATTCTGGATCGTTCTCACAGGAGACGGTGGTCCTCCATAGGGGCCTGTGCCGTGAGAGGGGGCCATCCGAGTGTGGGAGACTGCTTTCCCAGTACCGACTCACCTACAGACATTCTCCACGGCGCTTGGAGACACGTCACCGTGTGGTGGGAGTCCTTAGCCTGACCGTGAGACACGTTTTGCACGACTGCTTCCCTTGTGGCAATTCCAAAAGATAGGTGTACCCAAAGTCAGTTTCCCATCACTAAGTAAAATACCACTGGAGCCAGTGGTTTTCAAATTTAGCTGAACATCCGAATCAACGAGGACTCTTAAAAATCGCAGTGCCCGGTTTGCGCCCCAGACCCATCACATCGGACTGTTTGGGGGAAGGGGCCCAGGCCTTGGTATTTTTTTTTTTTTTTTAAGTCTCCAAGAGATTCTAATATGCAACAGATTTCGAGAACCACTGACGTAGGCAATTTACATGGCAATTGGATGGGGGGTTAGGAGAGGTCTTGTGGGCTCAGAATAGACAAATGCATTTTGTAAGTGAAAGGGGCTATTGTGCTGTTACCCTGGTAATGGTACTGAGTGGAAAAGTTTCCAAGCGCTAAAAGCATATGAAGTCATCAGCAATTTGGGAGAAACTAGATGGGACTCTCCCTGCTCTCCTACCTGTGAAGTTTTCTCCTATGAAATCATTCAGTCTTGAATCCTAAAGATCTGTGTGGCAAAACATTGCTGATATCTCTGTTAAAGACAAGGGACGATGAATGCCTAAACTAGTAGTTTCCAGCCTTGACTACATGTTAGAAGTACTTGGAAAGCTTTGGGGCGCCTGGGTGGCTCAGTTGGTTAAGCCACTGCCTTCGGCTCAGGTCATGATCCCGGAGTCCCCATTGGGACTCCCTGCTCAGCGGGGGGTCTGCTTCTCCCTCTGACCCTCCCCCCTCTCATGTGCTTTCTCTCATTCTTTCTCAAATAAATAAATAAAATCTTTAAAAAAAAAAAAAAGAAGTACTTGGAAAGCTTTAAAAATCCCCGTGACCTGGGCCCACCCCCGCCCCAGAACAATAACAAAAATCCAGTCAGGATCTTTGGATATGAGGCATCAGGATATTTAAAATCTCCCGGGGTCAGGGGGCACCTGGGTGGCTCAGTCAGTTAAGCGGCCGACTCTAGATTTCGACTCAGGTCATGATACCCGGATCCTGAGATTGAGCTCCCGTGCCCGGCTCCGCACTCAGCACTGAGTCCGCTTGAGATTCTTTCTCCCTTTACCTCCCCCCTCTCCCCCACCACGTGTGCCTGCTCTCTCTTTTGCTTTAAAGAAATAAAATCTTAAAAGTAATAAAATCTCCCCCAGGTAATTCCAACTTGCGGGTAAGGTTGAGAACCAGGGGCCTAAAACAGTGATCCTCAAAGTTTTGTTGCTGTACAAGAGGAAAAATAATTTCCCCCATCCTTCTGTGTTCTTAGCAGATAACTGTGTACTGAAAGATTAACAGGAGAAACACAAACACAAGTTTATTAACGTGTATACCACATGCATATATGGGAGATACTCCAGGAAAATGAGTAACTCCTTAAGATGGCTTTAGCCACCGCCTTAAATACCATCTTCAGCTAAAGATAAAACAAAGAAAAGTGGGAAAGGGTCAGGGAGGCCAGTAATGGGAGATTACCCAGAAAAGCAAGAAGGGAAAAAAACAGGGGGGGTCTTATCATGCAGATCACCTCATCTTCTTTTATTGGCTGGAGAGGGCCCCTGTGGCTGACTCATTGGCGCTGATAATAAAATTCCTGACTGACCAGTTAAGACTGCATTTCTTAATTTAAATTAGGTATTAAGCCCTGATTTAGGGACTTGGCCTAAGTGATGCCATTTTGGACCTGTGGTTTTCTTTTTAACACCTTCATGAAAGACTGAAAAGGAAGTTAATGGGAGAAGGAGAGAGGATATAGGAAGGCATCACAATTTCATCTACCTGGTCAATTTGCCCGGATCCTGTTCTTTCCAGTGAATAGAAATAGTTGACTCTCTGGCTAGACATTATGCTGGAATATAAAACATCCTAAGAACAAGCTGCATTCTCTTATTTGGGGATTGAGTGTGAAGATAACCATCAATCAGCCCAAAGTCAGCACCTTCCCTCACCTGCCTTCAGGCTCTGTTTTATAAATTCCTATTAAGCTATATTCTTTGTCCCGGAAGAATTGTTCTTAACCTTGGCTGCACATTAAAACTGTGGAGGGGAGGGAAGAGGGGAGATTTTAAACTCTGGATGCCCGGGCCACACTCCAGACCATTTTAAATTAAAGTCTAGAGGAGTGGGGGGATGGGAGGAGATGGTGTTAGTACTTTGTTAAATTGAAATTTGTATCCAGATATTTGTAAATCGACATGCAGTGGTTTTAATTTGCATTTCATTAATGGCTGATGATACTGAATATATTTGCGTTATTTGCCATTTATGTATCCTTCTTGGTGAAATATTTGTTCACATCTTTTACCCATCTTCTGACTGGATTATTTGTATTTTTGCTGCTGGGTTTTAGCATTCTTGGATTGTCTAGATACTTCAGTAGATAAGGGTTTGCCAGTATTTTCTCCATTGCAGCTTATCTTACCCTCCCCCTGTGGGCATCCACAGAGCAAAAGCTAATTTTGATGAAAGTCCAACTTGTCAATTTTTTCTTTCATGGGTTGTATTTTTGGTATAAAGTCTAAAAATTTGCTGCCTAGCTCTTGATCCTGAAAATCTTCCCTGATATTCTAAAAGCTTTACACTTTTACATTTAAAAGTGTTAAAAAAGAATTAAAATAACTTAAGTGATACAAACAAACTTTAACACTTCAGAAAGTGAACCATCTTCTGTTGGAACAGAGTTTTGGAGAACTGCCAAGTGGGGCAAAAAGCAGAGAGCTTTTCTAGGATAAATAACAGGAAAAGACAAATTATGTTTGGCTGGGACCATATATAATCAACCTTGTTTGGGGTGAGAAGCCCCCAGGTTGGCTTGGCACTTGGGGATTGGCTGACTGGATATACTGCATTTTTGGTCAAGTAGAGTATTTATAAGGACGTGAAAGTTATCTAACTTCTGGGTTGCTGATGTGGCGACCTGGACAGGAGCAGCTTCATCTTGGACCTAGAATTTCAACAAAGCTACAATTCATTTTGAGTTAGCTTTTGTATAATATGTGGGGTTTAGGTCTAGGTTTTTGTTGTGTTTTGTGTGTTGTTTTTTTGCCTATGGATGTCCATGCGTCAGTATTTTTTAACAGCGCTCCAAAGTGATCTCAGTGTGCAGCTAAGGTTGAGAACCAGTGCCTGCTGATTGAAGGACATGTGTGTTAGGAATCTGAACTCTGGATCTGCCTGCATGGCTTAGTCAGTTGAGTGTCCAACTCTTGACTTTGGCTCAGGTCATGATCTCAGGGTTGTGAGATTGAGCCCCTCCCTGCTCTGTCTCTCTCTCAAAAAAAATAAATGTGGGTGCCTGGGTGGCTCAGTCGTTAAGCGTCTGCCTTCGGCTCAGGTCATGATCCCAGGGTCCTGGGATCGAGTCCCACATCGGGCTCCCTGCTCTGCGGGAAGCCTGCTTCTCCCTCTCCCACTCCCCCTGCTTGTGTTCCTGCTCTCGCTATGTCTCTCTCTGTCAAAAAAATAAATAAAATCTTTAAAAAAAATTAAAAAATGAATGTGAACTCTAAGGTCTTTTCTTGAGCATCTCAATAAGATGAAAAAAGAATGACAGAAGCATGTGTTTTTATAACAACACTGTCCAACGGTGCTGTTATATATAATATGTATGTTAGTATATATTAATACACATATATAATTTAAAATTTTTTACCAGGCACATCAATTTCACCTATTTTTTATTTTTTTAATTTTAAGAATATATTTAACTTGGGGTGCCTGGGCGGCTCAGTCAGTTAAGCGTCCAACTCTTGGTTTCAGCTCAGGTCATGATCTCGCAGCTGTGGGATCGAGCCCCACATCGGGCTCTGTGCTCAGTGCGGACTCTGCTTCAGGTTCTTTCTCCCTCTCACTTACTCTGTCTCAAATAAATAAAATCTTTTTAAAAAAATTTTTATTTATTTGAGAGAGAGCACAAACAGGGGGCGTGGCAGAGGGAGAGGGAGGTTTCAGCTCAGGTCATGATCTCGCAGCTGTGGGATCGAGCCCCACATCGGGCTCTGTGCTCAGTGCGGACTCTGCTTCAGGTTCTTTCTCCCTCTCACTTACTCTGTCTCAAATAAATAAAATCTTTTTAAAAAAATTTTTATTTATTTGAGAGAGAGCACAAACAGGGGGCGTGGCAGAGGGAGAGGGAGAAGCAGGCTCCCCGCTGAGCAGGGAGCCTTACTCGGGGCTTGATCCCAAGACCCTGGGATCATGACCTGAGCCAAAGGCAGATGCTTAACCAACTGAGCCACCTAGGCACCCCAATAAATAAAATCTTAAAAAAAAAAAAACAATGTGTTTAACCCAATATAGCCAAAAATTATCTCAACTCATAATTAAAACAAATTATTGTAAACAAATTATTAATGAGACCTTTTGCTTTTTTCTGGAATAAGTCTTAGAAATCCTTTGTGTATTTTACATTTATAGCGCACCTCAATTGGACTCCTCACATTTCAGGTACTCAAGAGCCACATGTGATAAGTGCCTACCAAATTAGAAAATATAATTTTAGACATGAACGGTCTTATTCCCCACCCCTGTTCTTTCTATGTTTGCTGACTGAATATTTCTGTACAGTTTCTACCTGGTACAAATGTAGGACTACTCCTTTCAAACAATACAGGCAGTATTTAGAAAACTTGGCTTCTGCTTACAGGGGGATGAAACGAGTCTATCCTAGACAAATGTGCTCATAGCACAGTGTGCTGTCATAAATATTTACATTGGACTGACAGTGATGGGCGCAGAGCCTTGGAGCTATGATGTCCTCCCCATTATGCTTTGATTTTTGATCTTATTTTCCCACAAGGAAAGTTATTACATTTGCATGAGTTTGCATGGTGTTCAAAATTCACGAGGGCTTTGTTTATAGATGGAGCTGTGCAGCAGTGAAGGTGGGACAAGGTAAATTTTACGTGTTATCATTTAAACTGTCTAAGGAACAAAGCTTGAGTAGGACTGATTTCCATTCCACAAATGAAAGCACGCCAGTTGAAATAAATGTACCCTTAGCCGTATGGCATGGACTAGAACAGAGTTTCTCATCCTCATCACTGTTGACATTTTGGATTGGACCATTCTTTGTCATGGGGGGCAGTCCTGCACACTGTAAGATGTTTGGCATCATCTCTGGTCTCTAGTGTCCACCTATTTCACAGGTGTGACAACCCCAGATGTCCCTAGACATTGCCAAATGTCCCCTGGGGATCAAAATCATCCCCACTTGAATCACTGGGTTAGAATGAAATAAATTTGATTTGTATGGTTTTTTTTTCCTTTTTTTTTTTTTGGCCTAATTTGAAGATTTATATGACTAATTGCATTCAGATGGTTAAAAGATAAACTGAGGCATATTAAAAATTTTAAGGTTTTTTTTGAGCAAAAAGCGATTTCAACCAGGCAGAATCCAATTTGGCAGCTGGAAAGGAGCTCTGCGGAGCTGTACAAAATGAAAGACTTTTATAGGCAGGAGGGATCAGGAACAAGAACATTACACTGGCAAAAAAGCAGGTTAGTTATTGCAAGGTTACTTTCCCTTAGGGGATGGCAGGGCTCAATCAGGCATATTACCTAACGCATGCTGACCAGATGATTCCTGATTGATTTGTTACAGAATGATCTATCATAGCTGTGAACTCAGGAAACAAAGGGGCGAGCCCCAGCACTGCCTTAGCCAACTGCTCTGCCATGCGGAATTCTGAGAGGGCTGGTCAGATTGAAAGCACAGCTCGTGTCTGGGTTTGCCAACGCTGTTCCCGAACAAACTCAGATAAACTCGTCTCAAGAGAAGCCCATAACTCAAGAGACAAGGGTTCGGAAAAGAGAAAGGGAGAGATTT